AACCAGTGAATTGAGAGCATCTTGTGTACACCTGAATTTCCGGAAGCCATATTAAGATTTTGGAAGGATATCTTCGGATTTAAGCAAGTATTCAAGCCGATTTTTGATTAATCTCTCTAGAGTTTTTAGTATACAAGAACTTAAAGATATATCTCTGTAAGACTCAACGTTTTTATCTGACTTTCCTGGCTAAGCCAACCAATCTATTTAACTTTTCGCCCGCTATTAACTGTTCTGAAGAAGGACGCAATAGTTAATTTTGTGATTTGTTTTGACTTTTCGTTGCATCGAATAGAAGATTCCAAAGATTAATTTATTCCTTTTGGCGAGAGTATTATTTTTCATACATACTCTCGCATGGCGTCTGTTAAGTATTAGGCCTAATGCAATATCAATTCCAAAACTCTTAGTTTCATCATCGCTTTGAGAGGATTTAAATTTATATTTTCTCCTTTTGTTTCATCTCTACAATCGGAATTGTTCGGTCTCCTGCTAGTCTTTTTGCAGAATAGTTTCGGACACAAATGATGTTTTTGGAGTTTTCAGCAGGCGAACTTTGTGAAAATGATGTAAAATTGTTCTCCATCTCCAGTTAAAAATTTTTCCAACGAACTTTTCGTTTCTTTTGCCACTGTATCTCGATCTGCTTTTTGTTTTTTTTTTCACTTTAACTTATTTTAAAGACTACGTACTAAAAAGAAAGAAGAAAATGACCGTCAATTAAATGTATTTTTACTGAATATAACAATCACAAACAAAATCACACTTTGCGATATTTTATATTATATATTATTTTAATAAAATAATGTACTTAACACTTATATAAAAAGTTACATTTTTATTCTAGAAATTCCAGCAAGTATTAACTGTAATTCCAAAATAGTCTATTTTTAATCAACTCTAGGTATAATTTAATTGCATACTTTTCAATCAAAACTCACATAAGATGCATTAAGTAAGGTTCCGGAGACACTGATTTTAAATGGTTACGTTGACTTTTAAACATGTGCGTGCATAGCAAAGGCTCAGTGGGCGCAATGCTCGATCGTATTTACACACATCGACACACATGGGTGTAGATGTAGAAGCACGGGAACGCTTGTTCATACTTGTCGAGTTATCAATCAACAATTTAACACAATTAATTATAAAAATTAAAAACTTTTCGGGCTCCAAAAATTACGGCACTTGCTTAGGTTGCCTATACCTTAGTCCGCCCCTAAAAACAGAAATAGAGACACAAAATGAAGAAATTCAAGATATTCAAGTGGCATCTACTGAGAATCGTGCAAAAAATGTAACTCTCCTCCCACGGAAATGGATTTCAGGGAGATTTACCAGATGAAAATTCCCTTTATTTGGATATTGAACATAAAAAAAAACTCAATGACACTCCTTCATTTTATTCACAATCACTCACTCCTTTACAGATCTTTGATTTTTTTTTCAATGAAGAGCTTTTAACAAATATTGTAAAGGAGACAGTTCGTTATGCTCTTCAAAAAGGTACTACTTTAGAATTTGGAGTGGACGAGTTAAAGCCTTTATAGGAATTTTACTAATTAGTGGGTACAGCACGAATCCAAGAAGACGCATGTACTGGGAAGAAGCTGATGGCGTTAAAATTATACTGATTTCAAGTAACATGCGTCGTAACCGATTTGAAACCATTATAAGTTTCCTCCCTGTTAACAATAACCTAAACATAGATCGTTCAACAAGACACGAAATTTCTCCGTACCTTGAAAGACTCCGCAAATGAATACACTGTATGGGAAACCGAATCTATCGTGGATGAGGCCATGATACCATATTATGGGCATGGTATGAAACAACATATAAAAGACAAGCCCATACGCTTTGGGTATAAATCGTGGTGTTGGAATCAGAAATCTGGTTGCTTCATAGATTTCAATATTTATCAAGGAGCCAAGGGAAAACCCAATGAATACAAAAAAAAAGAATTTGGCCTTGGAGGAGGAATAATATTGTAGTTTGCTCAACTTATTCCTAAAATTCAATGCGATAGGGATATGCCTCATTGCTTATATGCTGATAATTATTTCACCTCTATGAAACTAATTGATTTTTTAACATCGAAGGGAATAGGTTACGTAGGAACCATACGATCAAATAGAACAGAAAAGGGTATATTCAGTGAAACGTTTAAAAAATCCATAGGTAAAATTTACGAAAATTGGTGCTTTTATGTAGGTGGAATGACAACAGCATAGTTACTTTGGCATCGAATTACCATAAAACGACGTCAGTTTATCAAGCGAACAGATAATCCAGAGCAAAAAAATCAAAGTAACACAACCACACCTTTTCGGGCTTATAACGAAAATATGGGAGGAACTGATCAGATGGAACAGAATGTTGCCTATTCTTCTTCTTCTGGTAGCACTACAACCCGGGGTGGGTCTTGGCTGACTGCACAACCTGCTTCCATCTCGAACGGTCGTCCATGATGTTTAAGTCAGTGGGTAGCCCCATTGTTCTCAAATCTGACCATATATTATCTCTCCATCGCATTCGTGGACGTCCTAAGGGCCTTCTCCCTGTCGGGACTTCTTCCCAGATTAACTTGGTAAGGCGGTTATTAGGGAGCCTATGAACATGGCCCATCTTAGACGTTGCGATTTAATCTCTTGGACTACGTCGCTAGCACTATACATTTGTTTGACCTCGGCATTTGTTCTCATTCGGTATTGGTTAGTATTCGGATCGTGATAGGGACCGAAGATCTTTCTGAGGATTTTTCTCTCAAAGCATCTGAGTTTACTTTCCATTGCTTTTGTCAGCGTCCACGTCTCACACCCATACATGAGCACCGGTCTAATTACTGTTTTATATATCCTGATTTTTGATGTTCGTGTTAGGCTCTTGGATTTAATAGTGTTGTGGAGACTATACATACATCTGTTTGCTGCCTGAATTCTTCCTTTGATCTCTTCCGTGATATCGTTATCTGTGGTGATAGTCGCTCCGAGAGATTTAAAACTCTCCACTCTTTCAAAGTTATAGGGGTCTATTGTTACATTTTGTCCTATTCTATCTCGTCTGTTTTGTCTGTTAATGCACATATATTTGGTTTTCTCTTCATTGACCCTTAGACCGGTATTTTTGACTCTCTATCTAATTTATTAAAGGTTTCTTTTACATTGGTGACGGTATTTCCTACAATGTCAATGTCATCCGCGTATGCTAGTAGTAATTTTGGTCCATTTACTGTCAGTAGTTCTGTTCTAATTTGTGCGGTTCTTACTACTTTTTCCAGGATTAAATTAAAAAGAAGAGGTGACAGCGCGTCTCCTTGTTTCAGTCCACTGTTTATTTCAAACGACTCTGAGAGCTTGTTACCTATCCGCACTCTAGATCTACAGCCATTTACACAAACTTTAACGAGCTGGATAAGTTTTTTTGGAACTGAAAGTTCTGCCATTGCATTCCACATCTGATCCCTTTTAATGCTGTCGTATGCTTTGTCGAAAATCTATGAAGAGATTATGAATGGTTCTATTGAATTCCCATCCTTTTTTAAGCAGCTGCCTGAGAGTAAAAATCTGATCTATGGTCGATCTATTTTTTCTGAATCCGGCTTGGTATTCCCCTATGAAATTTTCTACAAAAGGTGTTAGTCTACTTAATAGGATGTTCGATAAGATTTTGTACGCCGTATTAAGTAGGGAGATGCCTCTGTAGTTAGAGCACTTGGTTTTGTCTCCCTTTTTATGGATAGGAATTATTACACTTTCGTGCCATTTTGTTGGTATTTTCTCTTCGTTCCATATAAGTATTATTAGTTTGTGTAATTGCTTGCAATGTTTCGTCTATTTTTGGGTTGCCTATTACAGAACAAATATAAGATCATAGAAATGGTATTGGCCTTTATTTATCTGGGGTCCTAATGTCTCCATACAAAATGTTTGGTTAATTTACCACAGAATGAGACACATGATCTCTGAACAACCCGAAATGGATTTGCCTCAGTTTCGTCGACATATAGCCAAAGCCTTGTTGACGATGTTCGGAACTGCTCCAAGAAGATCTGGTCCATCTCAATCTTCCGTAAATAACGTTACACAAGATGTTCGATTCGACAACATCGGTCATCTTATTTCTACCTAAGAAAAATGAACTTGATGCCTCCTTTGTCAACAACCAATAAAAAATGTATAGAATGTAAGGTTGCCCTAGATGAAAAATGTTTTATTAAATTTCATAGTAATACACAATATTTTTTTATATTATTCTAATGTGAGTTTATTTAAAAGTCTTTTATATGATTTAATAAAACATTCCAAACAACGCATTTTTAATTTGTTTTTACATCCTGACTGCCCAGTGTTGCGTTTTCGCAACAGCCAATTATCAAAAAAATTGAAGTTTCTCATTTTATAAACATATATTTTTGTTAATTTTGTGACTTTTAGAGCATAAATTTTTCAGAAATTAAAAAAAAATTAACATAAACAGTTCTGAGCATGAATGGGTTAATAAACGATTCATAAACTAGCCGATTATCAGTTAAAATGGAAAATGATTTTTTTTATTATTATTCTACTGACATAGTACTGTTCTAATGTTAAAAAACTATCAGATCACTATTTATTATTATTTATATAAATTTTGTAGTGTTCTTTTCAGCATAAAATCAATACCAAACTAGCATTCCGGCTAATTTGCTATTGAAAACTAAATTTTGCATTTCCGGGAAATTTCTTTAAATAGATACAAGCATCCACCTGTTTTCCCGGCATTCTAGGTACTAGAACAGGAAAATCCTGGTTGCAGCCACCCACATACACGTTGAACGGGGATGCTGTGTCGCCGCCGGGGATGAAAATCAATAAATCTTGATTCTCTCCACGAATGCTCCATTCGGCTAGTCCTACCCCATTGGAAAGATGTAGTTCGTCGGACATACACGCGAGAGTAGCGTCCGCAACTTCCCTTTTTTAGTTTTTCCCTATTTTGGTTGCCTTCGTTTCTAAAACATGACATTTTTCAAAGGATTGTTGTACTGTATATTATGGTACTCGAGTATTTTGGCAGGTGAGTCTTGAAACAATTATTCTTTTGTAGTTTAGGGCAGACGCCCTTTTGATAGAATGCTGCAATTTATACATATTTAATTACACGTTTTTCGTTTATTATGTAACTTTAAATTAGGACTTATATAAAAAAAATATATTTTCATATATTGTTTAAAATGTTTTAAATACATCTTCATATTAGTTCTAAGAAAAAGTAATTTAGTTTTTTAAAAACATTTTATTTGTTTAATTTTTTATTTATATATTTTAATAGCGCTGAAACGCCTTTATTAACATTGCCCTTTTAATTTTACAATCTATTTATATTTTATAATTATTGTTCTCTGCATTTCTTTCCACTTTATTCTGTAGAATGTTTTTGCTTTCCAATCATCGATGTTAATTCTGTTTAGATCTTGTTATAAATTCCCTAACAATATTTTTTTATATGTAACCTTACTTCTCATTTTTTTTTGGTTTACGAAATAAATATTCTACTCAATGACTTTGAGTTACTGTATTTTTTTTGCCTTTTAAATCTTCTAATTCGTTGTTGCTTTTTTATCTTGCCATATCTGCCGTAATTGCTCCTATGCCATTTTTTCCCATCTCTCCAAAAGTTCTACTAGCCCAGGCTGTGGGGGAAAAAAGGGTGATTTTACACTGTAATTCAGGAATTTATGTAATGTAACCTAGTTTATAAAGGGCAACCTCAGGAGCAATCCCCCAGTTCGTTCAACAAAAAATTTTTGGTTATTGTTTATTTATGAGCGTTTATAGGTGCAAGATACGTATTTTTTAAGTTTTTTTCATTTTTTGCCTAAAGTAAGTATTGTAATGGGTAATTTCTGTATATATTATGAAAGTACTCTAAAAAACCTTCAATTTAAGCCGGTATACGTTCAATTTAATTTATTTGTTATTGCACAAATGACGAATGAAAGTCAAAATTAAAAAACGTAATATTTATTGCAAAATTGCTTTTTTATTTATTTCAAATATATGACATTAAAGCCTATAAAATTACGAATCGAATGAGCCGTAGTAGGCCTAAATCGCTTAATTCTTTGTTGCTGAGATACGTTAATTAGTTTATTCCACGACCTTCAACTTTGAATGCTCATAGGATTGCCAAAAAAAATGGTAGAGGGCTAATTCTTGTTTCATTCTCTTCCTAAAGCCGTAAATTATCATATTCCACTGGCAAATAATGAAAATTTTTTTAACCCGTTAAAAACAATTATTTATGAAGTTGTAAAATTGCAGATAGAAACATTTAGAGCTGCAGCGCCCTCCTATGTACCCTACAAATTTTTAATTTGCAGATTATTGTAACTGGCTTCGAGACGAAGATTTAAAAAAAATAGTTTTCTACGACCAATAGGAGCCGAGTTAGCATAATTTTTTTAAACAATCACAAAGGCTTTATTAATAACAATTAAGAAACCAATCTGGCGACGCTCGAAAAAATTTGCAATATCTCGGTGAAAAATGAACCGATTTCGATGATTTTTTTTAAATCTGGGTAGCTGGGGATCTTTGGTAGTAATCTACTACCAAATTATTATTGAGAACATCCCCATTTCTAAAAAAAATTAATATTCTAAAATATAGACTACTATTATTTCAGTATTTATCTTTTTTTTTAAATAATTACTCTGCCTCGCTGTGTAATCTTTTATCAGTGAAAAATTATGTTAAAGTAAAGTTCAAATGATTAAAATTTCTATTTAAAAAAATCTATTTAAAAAAAACTCAAAAAATTGATTTTAAAAACTTTTGCTCAAACTAGATTTTTGGTACAATTTCATGAGAAATTAAATAATTGGTTTAATAAATTAAAATAAACATCATATATACATATATCTTAAATTGCAAATTACTTTAATATAAGGAATAAATTAGTAAAACAGATATCTTTGTTTTTACTAGTATAACCCCAGTATCTGTGTGTAAACAAAAATTATTAAATATAAACAAACTAACTTTGTAAAAAAAAAAAAAATAATAATAAATTCCTCAACAATGAACTTTTTAATTACTTAAATGTCAATTGATAAATTATTGTTTGTCTTATTGTTGCATTTATCTAGTAGTAACAAATAGGAGAACATTTCATTGAGATGGCCAATATCTGTTCTATGATTCATTGCATTATTATTTTGGCAAATGTATATGTATGCAAATGTATGGCTATATATATATATATATATATATATATATATATATATATATATATATATATATAAATATATATATATATATATATATATATATATATATATATTAATGCTAAGAAAGCCATTGATTCTGGTGCGAAAACAGATTATAAGCCCTGCATACCAATGTATTTGTAACAATCAAGAATATTGTAAACAATCAGTGGAAACAAGAATATTATGAATATAGCCAACACTCCAAATCACAATATGCACTCTATATGACCCTCAATCCCGAGTAAATTTTGGTTTAAAATTACTCTGTTCCACGTAGATACATTACATTTATTATTAGAATGAAATCAGGACACATGTTATCCGGCTCATCTGGCAAAACTTAAAATTGTAAATTCCAATTTGTGAAATTTGTCAAAAAGAAGCAGATTTATAACCACATTTTCTTTGAATGTGCAAAACATATACCTACAACAAACTGACGACTTAATAAAAAATTAAGTCAAACATAAAATCCTTTCGCCCTATAACATTTGTTAGGTACCTTTTGTAATTAAATAACAAAATTGTATGTAACTACTTTTGTAAATTGTTTTACTAGAATTTATTTCAAAAAGTAATTTCAATTTGTAAGCTCAATTAAAATATAACCTTTGTTTTATCCCATTTGTTTTAAACCTACTATCTGACCCGGTCTAGTTTGTGTTTTAATTTAATATCTTGATGGGTCTCTTGACGAGAAGCTAGTAACCATGTTTGTTCCTTTACTGATAACCAAATATGCATTGTTATAATTATTTTCTTTTCTTTCCTTTGGGAAAAAGTTGTAACTGGCTGAATGGTAAATGCCTATGCCAAAAAAAAACGCAAATTAAAGCGTTTTAAACAAATTTAAGAGTAATAAACTCATAAGACATAAAAACCTTCAAAATGGCGGTTTTGAAATGTTTTTATCCTTAGTTTTTGCTGAGAAAGTTGCAAAATAATTAAGAAATTTCGATTTTTTTTATAAATATTATAAACTTTTTTATAAATTACCTAAGAACCTTCATATTACACAGAATGTTGGGTCTGATAGTGCTTAAAATCTGATCAAAATTTTAAAGCGATCGGTTTAAAAGTTATTTTATTTGTTTATCCCAAACTAATTTTTGCAACAATATAAATCAGAAAATGAAGAAGTTATATTTAGTAATTCTACGGATAGCTCGTAAAAAAAAGAAGCCATTCTATCAACTTCATAAAAAAAGAATAAAGAAAAATATTTTAAATATTGCAAAATCATTTTGCAAATCATATCAATGTTTTGCTTTAAACACTTACATTAACTTTTTAACTGTACTCGTCGTCAGAGACGAAAATGCCACTGAATCTCTAAAAATCATAAGAATAAGCTAAATTTTAGCCAGAATATTAATTTTGCGACCTCAAAAAAGATGCATTTTTTTTTAAATATTTTTTTACGGCGTACAGAATTTTTTGCGTTTTTTACCCCCTTCTAGGGTGGTTTTAGGGGGAAGCGCGGGTGTAAAAGTGGTAAACTTTTTTAAAATTCAGCTTGTTCGTATCATTTTTTGGGTCAACTCTCAAAGTCTGCCCCTTTTTTAATTGACAGCAGCTTTGTTTATTACAGTAAAAAGAAAGATCAAGTTAGCGTCATTTGAAACAACATCATACTTTCAAGTTTTAAACGTGCAAAATTCAAAAAGGATTGCCTTTTAATGATTCAATTAAAATTCAAAAAGCTTCAAAATGTGGTTCTAAAAATCTGCCGGTTTTGAAACTCTCGGGAATGTGGAGGGGGGGAAGGTGTTATCTGTTTCTTGTTTATGAATTTCAACGTTTTTTTTTTGTTTTGTATGCACTTCTTGCATACCTTACAAATATGTAATATTTAAATATATAAATTGTTAAGTAAACCATCTAATTTGTTTAAACAATTTTTTTTAATTTTTTAATTTTTCATTTAAGGTAATTTTTATTGTAAAACACAAATATTTATGATTATTATTTACTTCTTCAATAAACGTCGTAAATAATTTATTTATAGTAGATTTTATAAAAAAAAAAAACCAAATTATCCTATTCAATTAATTATAAAAATAGTAATGGTTTATGTATTGCTTTGAGAATAGATAATCTCAAATAAACTAGGATTTATTTCTTGCTAAGCATGCTAGTGTAGGTTTTAATCTATAACATGTGGTCCATATGTATGGAATAAATTCATTTTTAGCATTATTATGTACTATATGAAAAAAGGCTGAAACAGGTCGATTTTTATTCTTAAATTGAAAATTTAAAGTATGAAAATATTATCCCACTCCAGCACCCCCTTTGAATTATAAGCACCCCCTCGAAAAATTTAAATAACAAAGGCTTGTTACAAAGGAATTCTGTCCTCTGTCCTCTGTTCAGCAATATAAATTTTTTGGAGTTTGCGAAAATTGATTGTAACAATTAAATTAAATGTTCAAGTTGACCACCATTATTCATTCTTGACAACAACCCACACGATTTTGGAATTCTCGTCCAACATTTTATATGACCTCGGGGGTTATTTTGTTAATTTCTTCCTTTATCCTAACGTTTAAATCGGTATTACTACTTAAATTATTTTTCTTCATTTTTTTTTACCTTATTCTGGTTATGATAGCCACCGCTATACTCGGATCAGTTATTTTCTTTTATTAGTGTGTGTGTCTTTCCATTTAGCAAGTTTTTTTATTATATTTTTCGCTTCATATATTATTTGTTATTCTTTACCAGTTTTTTAAATCCCTAAACATATCGTTTACTTTATCTTATTATACAAACACGTCCAAAAGTCGCAGCTAAATATTTTCAAAAACAATCAAGTTTTAGTCTCTCTGGACCCCCAGACTCTTTCCTGTGTACTCTCGATCTGTAGACCAAACATAAAACTTGTATAACTATATGGACTTGTTTTGAAAATGGATATTGTTCCCCATGCTGTCGAGACTATTTCCTACGTATAGCTCAATTGCCGATATAAAAATTTTATTCTTGAAAGTCGTCTTGTTCTTAGGTTGAGGAATGTATTTTCTTCTTACAATACTCAGCAAAATTAGCCACCGATTTGTTGGCAAAAGATGACTTCTAAGAGAACTTAAGATTACTACTTAACGGTATTTCTGGGCAAATTAGCCATACAAAGTCGATGTCACTCGGGAAGGATCAGAGAACTAAATCCACAAGGAAAATAAATTCCTGCAGCTGGCTGTATACCATAAGTAGGTATATTTAAAAAAACCTTTAAAAGGTCTACATTTAAAAAATAAATGTTTTCGGAATAATAATTCCATCCTCAGGTTAACAGCAGGTTAACATGCCTGAGTCACCATAATATTAGGGTAAAAACCCTTTAAAGTAAATAACGTTACCAAAGATTGTACATATTGTTGTTAAAAATTATTGATGTTTAATATTTTATTATATTTTACTTCAGGTAACATACACCCATGCCTTACGTGAGTACCAGCGTCCGGAGGGTAGAACTCTTCAAACGGACTTCAGCTGGTAACGCTTCTGTTGTCCATAGAAATCCATCTCTAGTCCTTTTGTGAATCTTTCCCAGTAATCTGTTTTTGTTTTTCTTACCAATTGATGAGTTTCAGTTCTTATTCTTTTATATTCTTCATATGACTCATTCGTTTTTTCTTACTTATATTTTAGGAAAGCTTTCTTTTTTTGGTGACATTTTTGTTTAACCTCTAGGGCAAACCATGGTGTTTTCGTTGATCACTTTTTGTTTATTATTTTCGTTCCAATGGCTTCTCGTGCAGCATCCAGAATATTTTTCTTAAGTTTTCTTCAGCTAGTCTCTACATTGCTTTTTTTCGATTTTTTTCTACATTTTCGATATTCTCCATTTGTATTTTCTGTTCTAGCCTTTTTTGATATAATGATTTTATGGAGTCATCTCTTAAATTTTCTATTTTTATTATTTCCTCTGAATTGGTTTGTTTAAGCTTATCTTTCCATCTTTCATTGAATCTAATTTTACCAAGTACCAAATAGTGATTGCTTCCCATATTGGGTGACGTCAAACTTCTCACATCCATTATCTGTTTATGGTGAATGTTTCTGTTTGTGACCACATAATCTATCATTGATTTATGTCCTCTTGTATTTTCAAACGTGTATTTGTGTTGAATTTTATGATCAAAAAATGTGTTGGTTATTCTCATTTCGTTTGGTATGCAGAATTCCACCATTCTTGTTCCGTTTTCATTGATAACTCTTTCGTTAAACCTTTGTTTTATTCCTGGTATTACTTTTACTATTTTTATAGGGGTACGTATTAAATTAAGACTAAACCTTATCCAATATAATATGAGTATAATAAAAATTTACTATATTTGGAAGAAAAACTCTCCAGATTGAATTGGTATCCTATGAAATAAAATACCCAAAATCAAAATAATTTCGGGCTTTTTATTCGCTTCTACTTAGCTTAAAATACTGTGGGATTTTTTAGATAACGATTAACTGTAGAAAAACATGCCGTAGAAACAAAATGCTTCTTTAGATGCAAAATTTGTATAATTTAATAATTTCGTATATTTTAGGTTATACAACGCTTTTTTGTCCTTTGTTCCCGTTATTATTCATTTCTAATCGACTTTATCGTTACATTACCGATATTATTTTCACCTTCTGGCAGTATTATCCCACGGTAAGTAACGAAATCTGTAAAGCGAGATTAAGTCAAATAAACATTTAAAAGTTGCTTAAATATAGTTGTTATAATTTAAACCAACAGCTCTTCTGATAGAATAAACCAAGTTACTTATTTCAAATTTTCTTTTTATTCTTGTTAATGATTAAATTAAGATTAATTAATTAAATACACTATTTACAGCTTTTTTTAAGAGCTTTATTTGACTTTGCCTCGTAAATATATTAATATCCCCTCATTTTTATTGCTGGCGGTTGTACTTTTCTCCCAATGTTTTTTATTGATCATTACGGTACAATGATTTATTATACAGGTTTAGCCAGTCAAAAGAGTCCATCCTGATATTTGGCAATATTAATTGGATTTTGTGAAAATGCTAAAACATGTTGATTTTTATTAAAAAGGGCCCATCTTTTAACGATATACAGGGTGGTCCTTAAGTAATTGTACAAAAAGAAACCGCAGACTCTACACTTTAAAATATTACGATTAAGGTTAACTTGCTTTAATAAAATGTTGCTATTAAAAAATATACAGGGTGTTAAAGTGGAAATTTAAAATTTTATTTTTCGCTATAACTTTTATGTTTATAAACATTTATGTATAAAAATTTACAACTGGGTACTATTAAATATCAGAAATTATAATTTAATGTATACTTTGATATAGCTAATAGAGGGCGCCACATATGCCACATACGTGGCATACATTTGCACTTAACTTTTATGTTCTTCAAGTTACCGGTATTTTTTATAAAAAATATTAAAGATACATTATTTTAACAAAAAAAAAAGTATACTTGTTAATAATTTCAAAACTCAACAGTTTTCGAGATAATCGCATTTTACAAATCAACTGCATAATTCTGATTTAACGCAATTACTCCAGGCAATGAAAAAAAAAAAATAGATAAAAACATCAACACTTCTCAATTTTGTTATACAATAGCTTTAATAAAGTTAGTATTTAATGAAATATTAAATAAAATAAATATATCAGCAGGATAATTATTAATCGAATTTGATAAAATAACAGAATAATTGGATTTTACATCAAACATTTTACGTTTTGTATTAAATTAAAGTCATAATCAAAACATTTTATTTACAAACCAAATTAAGAAATAGTTAAACTAAATAACATTAAAGTTTTTGTCAAAGTAAGTGTTCGATATGTCCACCATTTTATTTAATTTATTTGTAAATACATTCCATAAAATATCGTCTCATACTAAATAGCACATTGGTTCTAAAGAAACTGCTGCAGTACTTATTATAAGTATAATAATAGGTATTCTTTTGGGATTTTGATAAATTAACTAATTATATTAATATCTTACAACATGACCAAGGAATATGACTATCACGAACAATCCAACGTTTAGGAAAGTTGTTTTTAAATACTGTTCTCACTCCCCTTTCTCTGTAATGTATTGGTGTGCCATCTTGTATAAACCAAATATTTAGCCTTAAGTTTGATGACAATTCTTCCAATAAATCAATGAAATCATTTTATAAAAAATGTAAATAAATCTCACAATTCAAATTGCAAAGTAATTCTCATATCCGCGAAATATCATTCAAAATTCATATTTAAAATGCATGTCCTATGATTTGGAACCATTGATAATTATTTTTTACGCATATGCGAATTACCTTGCAATTTGAATGTCGAGATTTATTTACATTTTTTATAAAATGATTTTATTAATTTATTGGAAGAATTGTCATCAAACTTAAGGCAAAATATGTGGTTTCTACAAGATGGTACACCATTACATTACAGAGAAAGCGGAGTGAGACAGCATTTAAATACAACTTTTCTGAACGTTGGATTGTTCGTGGTAGTCATATTCTTGTGGTGAGATATTAATATAATTATTTAATTCATCAAAATATCAAAAAATTACTTATTATTATACTTATAACACTTATAATAAATACTGCAGCAGTTTCTTTAGAACCAATGATGCTATTTAATATGAGACGATATTTTATGGAATGTATTGACAAATGAATTAAAGACAATGGTGGACATATTGAACACTTACTTTGACAAAAAGTTTAATGTTATTTAGTTTAACTATTTCTTAATTTGGTTTGTAAATAAAATGTTTTGATTATGACTTTAATTTAATACAAAACGTAAAATGTTTGATGTAAAATCAAATATTCTGTTATTTATCAAATCCTATTATTTTATCCAGCTGAAATACTTATTTTTTTTAATAATTCGTTAACCATTAACTTCATTAAAGGTATTTTATACCAAAATTCAGAAGTATTGATGTTTTTCTTTAATTTTCTTTCGTTCCTGGGGTAATTGCGATAAATCAGAATTATGTAGTTGATTTCTAAAATGCGATTATCTCTAATTCATCAAAATATCAAAAAATTACTTATTATTATACTTATAACACTTATAATAAATACTGCAGCAGTTTCTTTAGAACCAATGATGCTATTTAATATGAGACGATATTTTATGGAATGTATTGACAAATGAAATTAAAGACAATGGTGGACATATTGAACACTTACTTTGACAAAAAGTTTAATGTTATTTAGTTTAACTATTTCTTAATTTGGTTTGTAAATAAAATGTTTTGATTATGACTTTAATTTAATACAAAACGTAAAATGTTTGATGTAAAATCAAATATTCTGTTATTTATCAAATCCTATTATTTTATCCAGCTGAAATATTTATTTTTTTTTAATAATTCGTTAACCATTAACTTCATTAAAGGTATTTTATACCAAAATTCAGAAGTATTGATGTTTTTCTTTAATTTTCTTTCGTTCCTGGGGCAATTGCGATAAATCAGAATCATGTAGTTGATTTCTAATATGCGATTATCTCGAAAACTGTTGAGTTTGGAGATATTAACAAGTATACCTTTTTTTTGTTAAAATAATGTATATTTAATATTTTTTATTAAAAATATTGGTAGCTTGAAGAGCAAAAAAGTTACGTGCAAATGTATGACACATATGTGGCATATGTGGCGCCCTCTATCAGCTGCATCAAAGTATACATCAAATTATTATTTCTGATATTTAATAGTACAAAGTTGTAAATGTTTATACATAAATGTTGACAAACATGAAAGTTATAGCGAAAAATAAAATTTTAAATTTCTTCTTTAACACCCTGTATCTTTCTTAATATCAAATTTTATTAAAGCAACTTTACTTAAATCGTAATATTTTAAAGTGTAGAATCTACGGTTTCTTTCTGTACAATTACTTAAGGACCACCCTGTAGATATATGTCATTTATCAACCTTCCACCCTTTCAGTACCTCAAATCTTTAATTTTAAATAGGGAATATACCATGTACGGCATATCGTTAGACAGGGATTCGTTGGAGAATTCAAGAATCTCTACTCTCAGTGAAAAAGTATCAGTTTATTGTTAAAGTGTTATCAGTGTACCTCTTAAAAAGTAAACATAACGCCTATATTTTGCTAGTGTGAATATAAATTTTTTTTACTTAAGTCACCTCAAAAACTACATTTAATCAGTGGCGAACTATTTATGTGTTGTTGGTCTAATGTGGATCTTTAAATTATTTATTCTACTTATAATAATCTTTCACTGCTTGTATTGCTTATTGGAAGGGTTACATAAGTGATTCGAATTAAGTTTATTGGAAATGTTGCAATAATAATATTTCGTGAATAAATGACCACACGGATACAGGCATAATAATATTTTCTTTACATATAAAAGTCTTAAATTGTAATACTTACTTTTTCAGTTCTATTGGGTTTTAATATTGTTCATATCATTTTAATTCTATATTGAAGGGACACTAACATCACTACTATCAAAAATTATTTTGAACGTATTGTTAATAGTTTAATATCCTTCAGATCTTTATACGATCAGTAAAGAATCACATACAACAATAAAAATATTAACTTTGAAATGTTCTTTGCCACTGAATCTTATTTAATATTCTGGAATTTCCTCATTACATAGTTTTCGTATGTTATTACATAGTTATTCCAATGAAGCAGGAATGGTAATATAAATCTTGCTTTTTAAATAACCCCAAAAGAAGAAGTCCAGGAGCCAGGGGAGATAAAGAGGGGATCTTGCTGGTCAGTCAATAAAACCCTTTCGTTCAATGCATTGTTTAGGAAACGTTCATAAAGGTATCGGCTTACGTGTATGCTATAATGCGGAAGTGTGCCGTTTTGTTGGAAAAACAAATCATCTTTTGAGTACTTGTTATCATTTTCGATTATATCTGTCAAAATGAGATCAACTGTGTCCTCTAATAATCTAGGTATGGCCCAGCAATACGATACTCACAAATTCCTGATCATATTCTAGGCTAGGTTTTTCATCAGACCAATAATAGCAGTTGTGTCGATTTATAGTACCATTTAGAAAAAAAGAACATTTATCCGAAAAACAAATATTAAATTAATCAATTGATGAATTTATTATCACCACACCTTTTTCGGCGTAGTTCCTTTCTCAAGTGATTAATTTTTGGTATGCCTTTACACTTTATACTTTTTAACTGAATAAGTTGAGAAAGCAGAACGGTTTTTTTTCAAGTTGGTCATTTAGAATTATGTCTGTATTTTTAAATCTAATTCTAATAAAGATTCTAATAAGGCCTTTTTTTAATGTAAAGAATTTGATTGGTCATTAACAGAATGATTATGGTCTAGAAGGTTAAGTGCGTACGTAGAGTCTGTTTTTTTATTATTGAAAGCCCTTTCGTGTTCTGCTATTCTTAAGTTAAAAGTTCTATTAGTTTGACCAATGTAAGTTTTTGAGAGTCGCCACATTTAAGCTTGTATACACCACTGTGTAAGTGATTTTCCTTTTGGCTCTTGTTGTTCTTAATATATTTGCCCAAGTTGTTGTTTGTTCTGAAAGCTGGTGTTATTCATTTTTTTATGTGTGTTGTGTTGGCTATTTTTGTTAATATCTTGCCTATTTATGTAATCGAGTAGAAGGTACTGAGTGGTGGAAATTGTAATTTCATGGCTTTCTGATGTAATTCTTCATTTCAAATTTTATTTATTGTTTTCTCGTTGTACCCATTGTTAACTTCTATTTGCTTAATAATATTTAACTCTATCTCGAAGTTGGTTTTTGACATGCGAATTTCTATTAATCCATGTAACCTTCTATGATGTAGGATGGAATGACGGATTGTATATAGTCGTGTCAATATGGGTAGGATTATGAAAAGACGGAGGACTCATGTTTGTCTTAAAGTCTGATAATTTTAATATCTAAAAAATTTGTGCATTAATTATGTTCTGTTTCTATTGTAAATTCAATATGACTATGGAGTGAAATAATATACGATAAAAATTGGTCAAATTGCCTGTTAGTTCATGTAAAACATACCAGTAGATCGTCTACGTATCTTCACCAATATAAAAACTGTTTGAATACGGATGTTTGAAATCTTTGTTTCTAGATGATCCATAAAAATATCTGATCGCAATAGACTTAGAGGATTATCCATTATAAGTTCTGCACTGTTATTTGTATATATTTGATTATTAAATTCAAAGTATTCCTGGTTTATGCAAACTTCAAGAAGATGTAAAATTTCAGTTGTAATCTGAATTGTAATATAATGGTCTAAAAGATTTTTTACTAGAACAAAATTTTCTAATCAAATCAAATTAAACTGGAGTTGTTGGGTAATTGTTCAATCGCTTCAAAACTATTTGGCACTGAGAAGTTTTATTTATTTAAGACCTTCGTTACTAGAGAAAATAAGAAGTGTTATATATGATTGAACTCGTATTGAAGTGAGTGTTCCAATAATACAATATACAAAGCGTTGTATTTAAAAAACTAAAGTTACTAATAATATCAGAAAAATGGTAAATCTGGCAATATTGCAAGCATCAAATTTGAACCGGGCCATCCATTTAACAGATAATTAGGCATTTTCAGACTTTTGGGCCACTCTGTATATAAATTTTAAATTTAGCAATTAGTAAGAAAGACACCTTTGCCATATCTATTTGACAGTTTACTGTAATTTATCGTCATTTACAAGTACATAATATGTAATTAATTTTTATATGAGTATATGTTTATTTATTACATGTTTATTAACCACTCTAATTTTTAGGCTTTGTTAGAGTTATTCTGCGGATGTAATATTCAAGTCACAGGCGATGCTATAAGAACGGACGAAATTTCTATCCTGTTGATGAACCACAGGACAAGAACAGATTGGAATTTTTTTTGGCCTACCTTATACCACTGCGTAGAAGGTAAACGAAAATTGGCCCATTCTACAAAATTTCTTCTAAAAAATGAGATAAGACATATACCAGGACCAGGTAAATGTATTGATAATTTATATATGAAGTCTTATTATCGCTTAGTACCTAATAGTAGATATTTGAACCATTCACTGCATGATTGTTTATTTTTCGTTAAAAAAGTTTGGAGACTAGATTTTCATTATTTTTAGGGGAAAAATAATAAAAAAAAATCTGTACTACTATTTTTTTTATATTGGAAAAATAAAAGTATTGTTTATGAACAATATTATGCAAATAAGGATATACTTAAAACGATATTTAGGAAAAATGAAAATTTTTAAAACAGTTCTTCGTTTTAGTGAAGCAAAGTGCTGCACCACACTTTTTGCACAACACATGTGTATAGCCTTTGTACTGTGAAAATTTACTCCTTATTTGTTTTTGGCACCATACAGGCCAATGGTGAATTCCTTCCATTCGAACATTCTTTACTGGCATAACCTGTGCTGGGCCTTTTCTCTTCTTTATTTGCAGCGCCTCCTCATTCACTGCTGAATGCATTCAGCATTTTTGCAGAACATTCTCTCCTGCCTGCATAATGTTTCTGCCAGTTGAGTTCTAAACTGAGCGTGTGACTTAAAGCTTCACGCCAGTTCTATGTTCAGCTGAATTCTCGTAAAGAATCAACTGTTAGCAACGGTTAGTCTAGAGTGTAAAATCTAACACATTTTTTACTCCTTAAAATAATTTTATTTCGTCCCATATTGCTGTCCAACAAATCAACACCGCCCATATGACGGTTGTATTCTTGTACAAGATATTGACAATTTACTTCTTTTGTTCTCTTTTCTTTCTCGTCATATCTCTTGGCACTAGTTTTAGGAACTTCGTCAGCGAAAGTCGATAGAAACGTGACTAATTTGTTTTCTTTTCACACTAAGCTACTTATTTCCACACCATCGCAAGTACCAACAAACTCTACACTAGTTCCTCTTTCTTCATTTTCATAGTTTTTCTTCCAAAAGCTCACAATTTGGAATCCTATTCCTTCTTACGGTTCCTAAATTGTGAACATCTTGTTTGGAAAGATATACAAGGAGAGATATAGAAGAGTAATAATTGTCAAAATAAAGCCTGTGACTCATATTCCTATGAATAATTCTAGCCAAACTCACTACAACATTTGCAGTTGCTCCGAGGTAATTTTAAAAATGAAGTGGTATTTTCAGTGATCGACTGGTGGGACCATTTTTTTTTACTTGTCAATTTGATTGGCGAAATATGTTTATACTTATTGGAGGACGTCATTAATCCTGTCTTGACTAATATTGAAAATGATAACAATAGATACGATAAAGATCATTCGACTTTAAGGTTGTTATTCAACATTATGCAAAAGGACTGTTGATCAGCATTAAGCTTTACATACCTACCAAAACAGTATATAAACATTAATTATTAGATATTTAATAAAAACAAATATCCTTTTGCTCTATCACTGTTATCAGTAGTAATATCCCTAGGACATTGATAACAGACGAGATAATTTCATGACAATCGAAAGCTCGTTCCTTGGTAACAGCACGAAGCCGAAGGCTGATTACCAAGCAACGAGCTTGAGAAATGTCATGAAATTATGAGGCATTCATCAATGTCCGAGGGATATTCGGCGGATAATTTTTCGAAAAAAAAAAATCATAACTCAACATAACGAAACATTTATTTATTAAAAGTACAGTTAGTGAAAGTACAATTATTAAAATTTAAGTTAACATTAGATTCGTTGCTGTTCTCTACTACAGAAGATCTATTACCACGCATAATATTTATAATCTTGTTGTGGTGTTCTTGATCGAGATTCAAGTATGGTTTTATAGAAACGTGACATTTTGAAATTTATTTGGATGAAGTTGTCAAACTCGATCGTGTTGTCATAGGGATTGAAAATTGCACTGAATGCAATTATCAGTCTAATGTTGACATGATTGGGTGAAATTGTTCCACATGACACAAAATGACGAAATTTGAATGGTTGTTAGAACAGTCGAAAAATTATCGTAGTAATTAACGTAGTACAACAAAAAGCGCAACGTTGCCGGCTGTATTTGCTTTTCTGTGGAGAATAGTCAAATGATTAAAATGAATAATTTTTTTTTGAAAACGATTGAATTTACAAAAAAATATTATATGAATTTTTGGTTTAAATGGTGCACTCAGCCCATATTTTAAGATCGCACTATTTTCTGGCACATTCTGTGTATATATTAATTGTAATTAGACTGAATTTGTGGACAATAAAATGTCACATAATTAAAACTGTCTGGCTTAAGTATTTTCGCTCAGGCCAACGCACCGAGAAAAATGAATTGTCCTGTTCGGGCGTTTTACATAAAAGCTGAAGACTACTCAATTTTTAGAGGCCTTTCATATTTTATTGCATGTTCTACCATATGATTCTATTTAAAATTATTCCACAAAATGGCGCTAGTTTCGCTACTTTTAATAATTACTATTTAAGGTATTATAAAACCTAAAAACTGGTAGCTTAGTTCAGTTGACCAAAAATTTATTCATTCAAATCAAATACATTACTTCTTGGTATATTTATATTATTATTTAAATTTTACTTGTTTCCACTTTTTCAAATATTTATATATTCTATTGGTTTCAGGCTGGGTAATGCAGCTTGCATGTTTTGTTTACATTAACAGATCTTGGAAAGATGACAAGAAAATTTTTAACCAGTACATAGAATATATTACCGATATCAAATACAAACATAGCCTATTACTCTTTCCGGAAGGAACTGATTTTACTGAAGAAACCAAAAAAAGTAGCGACAATTATGCTCTTAAAAACAATTTGCCGGTAAAAAATTAGATTGCTTTTAGTTACTGTATAGTAAATTTATAGTAAAACTCTATATACCGGGTGATACAATAAGCTGATCTTAGGGGGCGTAACTTGTGAAGAAAACTTTGAAAACCAGTTTTTTGGGAAATATGCCCAATTATACCAAGTGTTAAATAAGTAAACTAGAAATATAATTTGTGGATAAATACAATAATTTTGTGTAGATCAAACGATTTTAACAAAATTAGTGTCATTAGAAAGAGTATGGATAATTAATTTACATATACTATAAAATAATTGCATTTAGTTTTAATTGTCATAGGTAGAGGGTACTTTCGAATAGAAAAAATTAAAATTTGTTTTTCTTCAAAATGTTTAATGGAAACATCTATTTATTGTAAATTATAATGGAACTGGATTAAATTCGTAACAAACTGGCGCAAACCGCATGTTAATAGCTTTTGTCAAACTCGAGATATGAATAAAAACGCATAAACATAAGTAAGTATAGTATTGACTCACCCTGTATTATAAATTAAATTAAAAAATAAGTCAGTAGGTACTTTCAATTTTTTTTATAGCAGAAGAATCTTAATGTTGATACCTATTTTGACCATTGTTATTTCATATGATTAAAAAGTTTTTTCGAAACTAAGTAGGCTACGACAATGAATTTGACGGAGAGTTCATATTGTTTATTTATTGACAGCAGTCAAAACATTGTTATGAAGTGTTATTTTATAATTCGAATTGAAGATTGCACTTTTTTCAATAGATATTAATATTGGTAATATTAGTAATTAATTATCAGTACGAATAATTCGTGATGAGTATATCAAATGCAGAATTGTATGATATGATTGGAGTTTATTTCGAATGTCACCAAAATGCCGCTATTGCCTCACGTATATATTCTGTAAGATATCCTGCAGAGGAGACATTATAGCAAAGAAGTATTTAAAGAAAGGCAGTTTTAATCGTCCTTGTTTAAACGACTAGTGAGGTATGACCGAAGATAATTCAATCAATGTTCTTGCTTTAATTCAACAGAATCCACATATAAGTAGTCGGCAAATCTCTATAGAATTAAACATACCCAAAACTACTGTTTTAAGGATTTTAAAACATCACAGGTTGGTTTTTCATATTATAAAGTGAACGTTTAGGTCAGAAACTTGGAATTCCCTTTAAACTTTAGATTCAACTGTTATTTTAATATTCCGATAAAAACGGCAACACGGCGATTTTATCCTTTTATCCGTTTCTTAAAAATACTTATGCACGATTTATTTTGTGAAACAATTGTGGATTGTTCAAGAATTTTTGAGTTTTAGTAAATATAGTGGTTTCTTTTTCACCAATATTTGTTGTTCTGTTTTTAGACTGCATCCTTATCATGTAGTTCTCCACCAAGCTTTACATGAGAGAGATTTTGATGCAAGGCTGGATTACTGCAATTGGATGTTAGGTCTGCTAGAAGAACAACCGCATATCATGTCAAAGATTTTGTGGACAGACGAGGCTACGTTTAATAGTGCAGGTGGTGTTAATCTGCATAATATGCATTATTGGGCTGAAGAAAATCCGCACTGGATACATGAGGTGCAGGTTCAAGGTAGATGGAGTCTTAATGTTTAGTGTGGTATAGTTGATGGAAAGATCGTAGGTCCATATTTCTTTGATAGAACTTTAAATGGCGAAACATATTTGGATTTTCTGGAAAATCAGTTGTTTTATTGGAAGATATTTCCTTACAAACACGAAGATATTATAATATGACGGGTGTCCTGCGCATTTTTCCAGACGAGTTCGAGATTATTTGTATGCAAGTTATCCAAATAAATGGATTGGAAGGGGAAGTATATTTTCATGGCCAGCTAGATCTCCAGACTTATCATGTCTGGACTTTTATCTATGGGGAAGAGTGTACCAAACTCGACCAACCACGCAGTACGACATGAAACAGTGCATTATATCAATAGTGCAATTAATAGTATCAACAGCTGAGTATGAAGCAGCTGTTATGTCTACGCGCGAAAGATTACATCTTTGTGTGGACAACGATGGAAAACAATTTGAACATTTAACTGGACATTAAGTTTTAATGATCGAGATATTTGTATGATCTTTCACATATTTAATTTTAAGTTATAATAAAGGGTGAGTCAATACTATACTTACTTATGTTTATGCGTTTTTATTCATATCTCGAGTTTCACAAAAGCTATCAACATGCGGTTTGCGCCATTTTGTTACGAATTTAATCCAGTTTCATTATAATTTAAAATAAATAGGTGTTTCCATTAAAATATTTTGAAGAAAAACAAATTTTAATTTTTTCTATTCGAAAGTACCATCTACCCATGACAATTAAAACTAAATTCAATTATTGTTTTATAGTAGATGTAAATTAAATTATCCACACTCTTTCTAATGACACTAATTTCGTTAAAATCGGTTGATCCAAACCAAAGTTATAGGTATTTATCCACAAATACTTTCCCACTCTCCCCCACCTTTTATTTGAAAAAATAAAAAAAGTACTTGAATAACTTTGTAAGAATTTAGGCCTCTTTTTAGTTTACTTATTTAACACTTGGTATAATTGGGCATATTTCCACAAAAAACTGGTTTTCAATTTTTCTTCAGATTACGCCCCCTAGCGGTTAACCCAGAAACTTGAAAGTTATTTCCAGCGATTTCTCTTGGCCACTTTTACTAAGGAATTGTTTCTCCTAAAGTTATAACATGAATAGTTTCTGATATATAGCCGAGAGATCGGCTTATTGGACCACCCGGTACTTACAGTAAATTCCAACGAAGATTTGATCACCCCAGAAACTCAGAAACCAAGAGTTTTTTCAAAATTTAAGAAAACACGTCAATTGGTATTGGGAGGGGGAACGAATTTTTATGCAAAATTCATGTCCTCAAATGTAACCCCTACTGCCCCGCATCAACCCCACTTTTTTTAAATAGCAGGTGTGGTCGAGTGGCACATCATTTGAAAGGCAATTTTTTTCTCTACACTACACTTTATTTTTTTTTTAATTAACGTAATAACTTTGAAGGTAATTTTGGATTAACTTTTATGTTGAATATTAGTTATAACCAAAAAAACACAAAAATTCACCAAATTCACTAATTAAATGTCCAGTACAATAATTCAATCAAACTGCAAATCGATATCAACACGCCACTGTGTTGAAGATATTTTTTTTTTCTTTTTGTAAAAATATCACTTTTTCATACGAATTTTTTAAGCTAATGAATCCTAATTACCTTCTTTAGTGTTTACCAGGTTACCTCTGATTTAAGATTTGTCAACTGAATATTCAGAGATATTATTGTACAGGCTTACAAAAACGGGATATTATAGTGAAGAAAGAATGGAATTAGTTAAGCTTTACTATAGAAATAATTAGTGTGCTAAGGCTACCGCAAGGATCTTTAATATGAACCATCCAGAAAAAAAAAACGTGTCCCAATACGTTAAATATTTAACTGATAAGTTTGAAGCTACAGGTAACGTTAACAACACAAAGCACGAAGTAGACCGTCGAGTGCGAAATGAAGCAGTTGAAATGGCGGTATTGGGTCATTTACAAATGGATAATCGACACTTTATCAGACAACTATCTCGTATATCAGCATCTAGTATTTATCAAATTATAAAATTCAATAAATTTTACCCTTATAAAATACGATTAATTCATCAATTAAACGAAGATGATGCTGATCGTCGGCTTCAATTTTGTGAAGAATTTAGTGAAATCATTAATAACAACCAACATCGATTGTACAATATGTGTTTTTCCGATGAGTGTACTTTTATGTCATAGGTATAAGTGATGTACAGTGGCCAGGATCAGGAAAATGCACGAATAACAGTGGAACACTTTTTTATTCAGCCACCATCAGTTCAACTCATCGTTACGGTGTCGCTGTTCTTGGTATCAAAGAAAATCAGTAACTGGACCCAGGAGCAGATATAGGCTCGGATCACAATCCTGTAGTTAGTCACATTAAGAATAAAACTAAAGATCATTAAAAAACACATACAGAAACAAATTGACGTGAGAAGACTGAATGAACAATATATAAAAGAGAAAAACAATAGTGAACATCAAGAAAATTTACAAAATTAGAGAAACTAATAAAGAAATACTGATAATATAGACCAAAAATGGGAGAATATTAAACATGCCGTAATGTTGACAGGGAGAGAAGAATTTAACACCGAAAGAAAGGAAACATTAAAGAATGGATGAATGAGGAAAATACTACAGTTGATGCGTGAAAGAAGGGTACACAAACAAATAATCCGATAAGATACAAAGAAACAGATAAACTGATAAAAAAGAAATAAGAGAAGCTAGAGAAAGGTGGCTAAGTGAGCAATGCCAGGGAGTTGGAACAATTGGAGCGAAAATATGACTTTTTTAATGTACGAAAAAGATTAAAGAAATGACAGGAAGGAGAAGAAACAACACAGATAGGACAGATCAAAGATACAGATGGTATAATTATAACAGATTTACAACAAAAAATGAACCGATGGACAGAATACATATCACAACTGTTTGATGACAAAGATAGACAAGAAATCTCAAACGAATATTACAGATGATACAGGGCCTGATATAATCAGAGAAGAAATAGAATATGCAATCAAACAAGCAAAAAGTAGTAAGGCCCCGGTCCTGATGAAATTCCCGCTTACTGCTTAAACTTATGGGCGATGAATCTATTAAAATACTCCTAGATCTATTTAACACAATATATAGAACTGGAATAATACCTAGGGAATGGCTCCGTTCGACCTTTATACTACTGCCAAAAAAGGCAAATACAAAGGAATGCAACGAATATCGTACGATAGCTTTGATGAGTCATGCTCTAAAACTGTTCTTAAAAATAACCCATAATAGGATCTATAGAAAATTAGACGTAGACATCAGTAACACTCAGATGGGATTCAGAAAAGGGCTGGGTACAAGGGAGGCTCTGTTTGC